ATTATTAGAACATTGGTTTCTTGAAATTATTGTGTGGTTTACATTTTCTGTGTATTTAATTCCAGGAGAGTAAAGTGATGGTAAATCTTTGTAAATATAGAGTGTTGAGTATGGCAGGATTGGGTACCTCTTTTTACAGGATCATTAAGCTTTGCTTGCTTCTGCTTCCACAAGTTCCAGGATTCCAAGATGAAACATATCAATAAAAAGAAGCTGGTATACACTGATTTTAACAATCGGGTTTTCACTTTAAACAAATTTTAGGATTAGTGCGGCTCAGTGGCACACTGCTGTCAAAGTACAGAGGGTCCATGACTGGGATAGGGGTGGGGGATGAACATCCAGGCACCGGAGTTCTTTCACGTCCAGGCCCGTGAATCTGCAGAGTAGCTTGAAGGGTGAGTCGTTTCTCTTTGCTTTGGTTTGTACTTTTCTTCATTTTAAAAATCATGTGGGGGTGGAGGTGAAGGGAGGCGGGGAGAAGCAGTGATGACATCCAGTTTTCCCCAAAGCCTGGGTCCACAGCTGGCCTCCTTTGTGGCGCTGGTTCACATTGAAGCTGTCCGGATTTGGAGACCACGGCTTGCAAATAAAGTGCTCCAGAAGAACGGCTCGTGAGGGGGAAAGGAGGGCTTTTGGGGAGCCGAGGGAGCAGGGCGGCTCTGTTTTGTACGGCGGTTCGAAGTGTGGTTGAACTGAACTTTTGGTGTCAGCAGGTAGCGCTGCCACTAATGGTGGAGTAGGGACCAGAAGCAAGAAGAGGTGGGGCGGCAGTTGACAGGAGGTGGGGCTTCGAAGTAGAACAGAGACAAGCCTCGGGAAAGCGAGGTTTCTATTGACAGCGGGCGGGGCTTCCGCTGAAAGGGGGCGTGGTTTGGACAAATCTGCCACCAGCGGACGGGGCTTATGATGAGAAGGGGCATTTCTCACGATCTGGCAGTGACAATAGGAAGGCGGAGCGCTTGGTGGGCGTGGCCACAACTGACAGAAGGGGAGCTGTCTTCTGGATAGACCCGAGTGAAAACTAGGCTTCTGTAGATAGAGGGCGGAGCTATCACTGGCAAGGGGCGGGACCGTTCCGAGACCTGGAGAAGGCGGGCTTCTGTTGACGGGGGCGGGGCCTCCGCAGGCAGGGGCGGGGCTTCGGTTGACAGAGGGGCGGGGCGGCTCCCTCCTCCCGCGGTGCGCCAATCCAGGGGGCAGAGGCCCGGGTCGAACCCCAAAGGAGCTGCAGGGTCTGGG